CCCAGGCCAAGTGGGGACAGTTCCAGGTCCCCAGGGCTGACGAAGCAGCTCTGCATATGCAGAACTAGTTGTTTTTCCAAGTGCTCCTGGGCTTCTTCACCTTTCATGGCACTACATCCATCACTTAGAGCACTGCCTGTAAACATCTAGAAAGCAAATGCTTCTGTGCATGAGAGTTCCCTCTACAAAGCAATGGAGGTTAAAAAAAAAAGTTTTGAATTCACCAAGAAAGGCCAAAGTTGGCAGAAAAGCCAGAGGGGAGTCAGACTGATATGACGATTCACCCAGATCGGCAGAAGCAGAGGAATAGCCCATGTTTTGTATCCAAAAGACAGCACCTTTAGTGAGCCTCAGGCTCCAGAGAAGCAGATGAACCAATGCCCTGCAGTGGGACATCCAAGCTGCCCCTCCAGCCGCCTCCTTCCTCTGCTCCAGCTGTGCTCCTGCATGCAACATTCCTCCCTCTGCAGCCTGCGTCTGGATGCGGGTCGTGCCAAGAGGCAGCTGCGCCGTCTCAGCGCGCGCCAGGGGCTCGGGGAGCCCGCACGCTGCGGCCTGGCATCCCGGCGGCTCCCGAGGAGCTCGCACGCAGCCCGGAGCTCCACACCACCATCCAGTGACAGGCAGAGACATGGGCAGCGGCCACGCTCGCGTCCAGCCCAGCCACAGGCTGCTGCGGCTGGAAAGCACAACATGCCGGCACCGGAGAGCTCGATTTTACTGGAGACAGCAGTCAGGACAATTCTGCACACTTGCAAGGTGCCCCCACATACCCCTGCTAATTCTAAGGCCACTAAAGGGGTTGCAACCATCAGGGTGGTCACTGAACCCTCAAGTCACAAGCCTTATGTTCACAAGGTGAGGGGTTTTTTTTTGCAGAATTAAGCCCTGAACCAGCACACATGCAACATTTCCACCCCAGCAGCACCTAGCTGATATTACCGGGGCTGCACCTGCAAGGGGGAGCAAAAACAGATTACACTTCCCACACCAAAAACACCCCCCTGTGCAGTAGCAGTGCTGCTCTCGGTAGCCAGGTTGGTAAATTAGGGCAAGCTATGCTTCCCCTCCCTCCCTCTCCCCCATGCAAGCATTTAAGGGTTCCCACTGCCTGCGTGCAGGGTGCAGATCAGTTACATTTATGAAGAACATTGCAATCTGTCAATATAAACACTATGTGAGCATGAGCCACTTGTAACATTACTACCGGGGCTTGACAAGTGTGTGCAGAGGGAGCGGATCAGCTTCAGCTCCTCCTGCAGTGGGAGGAAAGGAAAACAAGCTCCATGCTGTAAGGAACTCACTTCTTGTGGGTTCCCCCTGATTTTGGGGGGCATCTAAATAAAAACCAGTCTGTAATCAGAGCACACAGAGGCAAGGAACCATGCACCCAAAGCTCACAAGTCACCAAAGCAGCAGAACAGGGAGGAAAGCGAAATGCAATGCTTATCCCAGGATCCCAGCAGTCTGGGGCTGCTCCAAGCTATCCCCCTCCGCTGATTGCAGTATGGTGCAAATTAGTTTTAAGGCAGCCCAGCCGCAGAGGAGATGCCCAAGCAGAACAGCAGACTGGCTCTTGGAGCAGCAAGTGCATCTCAGCCAGCCAGGCTTGGCCAGCACTCATCTCAAGGCAATGCTTCCCCCTCTGGTATGACTCAACCAGTGCCACTGTCAGAAATACTCCTATCCTAAAACATGCCCTTATCCCTCAGGCATCCCCAGGGAAGCTGCTGAGTGACCTGGAGTCAGCAGCAGCCCATTAAATCCTACTCCAGTTTTGCCAGCCCGCTGCCTCCCCTATAAGCAGGAACAGCCTTATATCAGGCAAGAGGTGCAACATCACAGCATCCCCCCATCCAGCCTCTTCCAGCTGCTTTCCATTAACCAGGGCTAACGAGCCCCTTGGGAGCAGCTGCCTGGGGACTCCACTCACCACTCAGTTGGATGAGCATCACACCAGCTGCAAGAACCTGCTTCTCTATAGGAAGAGAAGCAGCACCAAGCCTGGAGGAGGATGCTACCCACCTGCAGGCAAGAGAACAAACCTGGACCTTCCTCTGCCCCACAGCAGTGGGGCATCACCTTCAGTGCATGCCTTTGGCTTGCTGGCTTAGAGCATTTATTTGCCTTTTCTGGCTGTTTGCAAACCCATCTGAGCCACCGCCAGAGGGGAACACCCCCATCCCAGGGCCTTCCCACCCCAGCACTGCCCAGACCCCACTCCAGCCCCCCTTCTGACCCGCCTGCTGCCCCAGGGGGCAGCCCCAGACATAACTACATGCTGACACAATCTCGTTATCATGTAACCATGCCCCGCTCCTGTCCCCACGCACTAATTCCCAGGCAGGCCACACATTTGGAAACACCAAATTCTTTCCCCGAAATAAGATGTGGGGGAGTGAAGCGGGGGGGAAGGGATCACCCACAGCTGTCCCTATCCCCCCATTGCCAGCAGAGCAGGGCAGCTAAGCAGGAGCTGCAATATGACATCTGCTTAACACGGCCACCCATTGATCCCTGCTCCCCACCATGGGGGCAAGAGCCCACAGAGCAGAGGGTCTCACAGGCCATCAAGGGGTGCCAGGACACTCACTAGCTCCTTGGACCGAGAAGGAGCATCCTTTCTCCCTGCCTAGGACACTTCATCAATCAAGTCATCTTTATCACAGTCCCCAAGTCAAGGGGGATGCATCCAGGTTGCCCTCCCCCACCCTCTGCTATGGTTGCACCAAAGTCTCCAATTTTTCAAGATTAGGATGACAGATACTGAGGTCACTCCTCACCTGGAGGTCCCCCATTCCTGCAGCAACATCCATATGGGAAGTGCTGTAATGAGTGGAGTTGACACCAGCCACCAGAAGGCATCTGCAGAGGCATTAAGAGCCCCATGGGAGCTGATATGGGGGGTAAGAACCTACCACTTTCCTTTGAGTGATGCCTGCAAGGAGCAGCTCCTCTTCCATACACTTGTTGGATCACATCTCACGAGGCATTAGTGAGGACCCTGGACCTCAGCCCTGAATATTCTCCAGTGTCCCCAGAAGCTCAGCAAGTGCGATTGCTGGTTTAGGCTCCTTAGCCAAATGAGATTAGCAGATGCTGAGCCTTTGCTGGGGCCCAACCCAGAAAGATACCTCACATAAGCAACCTTCCCCATGCTCCACAGGGCTGGGACAAACATCTGGCAGAGTCTCCTCCTGCCCTCCTTAGATAGGGAGCCTCAAATCAGGGTGACAAGAGCAGCAGCTGCCCCAGAAGTGGCTTGGGGCAGGGAATAGCCTGAAACAGGTAGGGCACCAGACCTGACAGCCCCCTCCCTGCTAAAATACACCCGCCAGAAGAGAAATCCCCAAAGCAGTTAACTGGAATGGAGTTACCTGCTGCATTACAGCTGCTACCAGCAGCACAGAGTTAAAGCCAACTCCACAAAGCAGCAGTATAAGCACCTGGTATCTATGGTCCTCAGCAGATAGGCAGCTCAGCACCATGCTAAGTGCACTGCAGAGAGGGACCAGGCAGCTTCCTAAAGCCATCGTGCACAGGGGTGATGGTGTTCCCTCACACACCAACCTCAGAAGCAGGAAGCTAAGCCCTTCTCAAGATGGGAACAGCAGAGACGAGCAGCGGTGTTTGGAAAGCTTTGCCAGACCACAGGCAAACAGACAAGCCTCAACACCAGGATTTGTTTTACTGGAAAGGAGAGCGTGTGTGTGGGGGAGAGACCTCAAGTCTGGTAAAACCTTCCACGGAACTGGTCCAGTGGCTCCTACCAGCGGTCACAACACAACATCCTGAACCAGACCAAAAGTTATCCCTAAGTTCAAACAATTTGGTGAGCACCACAGCAATCAGGGCATTCACATCCTCCCCACCTCACCCCCGTGAGCCGACCACCTTCAGAACAGGTCTTTTAAAGCAGAGAAAGAACCAAAACATCATTTATAGAGACCCCACAGTGACCAAAGCACAGCAGTGTGTGCAGCATGAGCCTCCCCAAGCACTGCAGGCTAGGCAGCCCCCCCGGTATAGGGGAGGGGAGAAAAAAAGGCGCAAAAACACACAAGCAGAAAGAGGAGCCATGCGGGAGAAAAGGCTCACGATGGGAGAGCGATTTGGGGCAAATAAAGAGGGAATCGGGTGCGGTGAAGACGTCGGGGGCGCCCCGTCCACCTGCGCGCCGCGGCCCGGGCTGGCGGCGCCCCCTGGCGG